AACCAGCTTTTGCAAGGCAACCTAGGACTTCTTCGAGACGTTGTAGATGTTGCGAAAAGGTAGACAAAAACACTATGATGTCGTCTAGGTAGCATAAGCACACACTAAACAAAAATGACCTGAAATAACCTCAAAAACTGGTAAACCATTTGTCCTCTAGCGCACTACCTTTCCTGGGTTTTTTTTACCACCTACTACCGAGGTAAAAATTTACTCTCGTGCTAACTGAGTTTTTGAACGTAGGGAGAGTAGTAAATATTTACCCCAGTGAGGTTTTCAGCGAGTATAGAGAGAGTAAATTTTTACTACCTTCATAAGGTTTTTGAGGTGATTACTGGGAGTTATTTCTGGTGGTAAAAAATAAAAATTGACTGGTGCATTCGGCCAGAGACGACAAATTTATTGAATAGCAGAACTGATTGAATTTATTGAACGGCAGAATTGGTGACACATAGATTCACATACAGACAAACACGCACACACAACAAATGCAGAATAATACACCACTAGAACAGACTGCACGCGTTGCTCAACTACACTTCGACAATCCGGTATATATATAGGCACGACTTTTTGACCGGCCAAGTAGTACCGGTAGGAGAGCTCTTTTTTTCCATCGATTAACAACAACGCTTGAAGGTGCAAGCGTAAGCTTCAGGTGGGCTGCAGGGCACTAAATGTCACACCGACCTTTTATTATAAATCTACACGATCTCACCTTTTTGATTATCCAATAATTGCTTGGCACACCGGGCTCTTTGCCCCACGCGTGTTAGCACTGCTGATGCACAAGTCCATAAAATATACCTAATTACACACAAACCATGGTAGCTCAATGATTTTAATTGAGCCACGGTGCACAAAACACAGTAGCAGCACGTATTCATCACAACGGGCGTAGAGGAGCGGTGCCACGCCTGCACACAAGCTTCTTACCGACGGCGTTCTAGGCCTTTTCGAGGAGCACGGCTATCCGATGAAACACAGCTGGCAATCACAGAACACATATCCTGTGCGAATTTCGTCGTCATTTCAGACACAAATGAACGCGTGACCGCTATCTGGCAACGATAAGGGTTCGGGGTCTGATTTAACGCAGTAATAAAGCAGACCCTTCAGAAAAAACGAACAAGGCCTGGAATGATCAGAATGCCTCGATGTACCGTGTGGCCATAAGGTAGTAGAAGCACGTCGCCATCCACAATGTTGCTGCAATCAACGCTAATTATTTCTTCTCGTGATGGCCAAAGAACATAATTTGAAGTGGTGACGAGACGAATGCGCTGTTCGGGTTCCGATACAGAAGAGTCGGTTGGATTGAGGTGGATGAGGCGCTGACGACAAGATATAGAAGCGCGTGCAGACGACAGAAAATTCCCACCCCAAAATGAGTTCGTGGGTGCACTCACGGAGAACTGCAACAGCAATATGATGACGAATACCGTCTATGAAAACGTGAACTGTACACTGGGCGAGTGGACGACAAATGGCGTTCGTCGCAGCATGGAGAGACGGGCCCGAGTAAGGTGTTGTTACTTTGCGGAGACGGGAGCAAAGGTCAGAGCGAATAATAGAAATAGCAGCGCCAGTATTCACTAGAGCTTCGACGCGTATACCTTCGACTAACACTGTTAACAAGTTCGATGGTCTGTCTGGAGGAATTGCTGGCTGTCCGGTGGATGCAGTTTCCCCTCCTAAAACTGCATTGGGGAGTTTTCCGAGTGGGCATTCAGAACATTGGAGGCGGGTCGCAGAGGCGACACGGAACGGCGATTGGGAGATGGTGAGCGGCGGCGAGACTCACGGGAGTTCACAGGCAGACCACTACTGTAAGGTGGAGAGGGCGAACGCTGAAAAGAAGACCGGCAAGGCGTGCGCTGGTAGTTCGTGAGTGGACTGAAGCGTCCGCGTTCCTCTGGAGCGTAGCCACGTTGCTCGTCCTGTTGACGCCTTCGGCAAAAGCGAGATATATGACCCCTATAGCCGCAATAATAACAGATTGGGCGTCGAGGACGCGGCATGGCGTAATACGGCTGTGGGCGCATCGGTGGTGACACTGACCACAATATTTTCTCTATGCCACACTGTCATTGGTCCCTTGGCATTTAACATTTTCTGTGTACCGTATATCACCTGCTTGTTACATCTGTGAAAAGTCGTAGTGTTTATCACAGCGCATACACATTAAACAGCGCGTGCCCATGCTCAACATTACTTGAATCATTTTGGAATATAGCAGGAGAGCGTCTCCTTTTCAACTTAATTCAAGTAGGCAAGCTGCCATTCACATAAGCAGCGGCTGGCGAGATGGATTATGAGCATAATAAAATATTTCCACTTGCCACGTAACGGCGTTCAGTATAGTTTCACACTTGCTGAGAGAGAAATAAGTAGCGCTGCACGTATGCGCTTCTTTGCTGTCTGAGATGTATTTGGAGCTGTAAAAGACAGTTCAAGTTGAGTGAAAATCAACTAGCTCGACTCTTATCTATCCCTACATAGTGCTAAAAACCACGGTCATTCACCTTCTCCGGTGGGTCAAGTTGTGCTTCCCACTGAGCTCGAGTCCACTGCTTTATTCGTGGGCACTTTGCAAGCTGCCGCCATGGCTACAAGTTACCATAAGAAATGCTGATCAGGTTTATGAGCGACTAAAGCGGAAACAATATTTGGCGTTTCAGTACGAAAAAAACTAAAAAAACGATTCTTCATACTGATTGGCTCACAACAGCTTCGACAGAGCAGCGGTGATGCTATATCATTTCGGAAGAAATAAAATAATTTTCCGGAAGCAGCAAATGCTTTGAGCGGTCCATAAAAAGCTTGCTCTTTCCCATTCGTAACTGCATCAACAAGTCACAGCAGAATAAAAAGCATGAACAAGTGGTGTATTGTTATAGGGCCCCTTGCCAGCTCTGCAATGCTAAAGGCACGAAAGCGTCACATAGGTGACCCGCACCGCAAAGAGCCCACAAGGAAAATCATCAATGCGGAAATGCTGGCAAAATTTCACTATGCTGTAGCATTGCCTAATAACATTTCCAATTTCCCCTAAGAACATGATTGAGTAATTACTGTTGTGACGGAAAACTTCGCCGTAGTTGCTGGTAGCGTGTAGCCAAGGAGTGACCACTGTCGAAAGTTGCCCCCCGGCTGATACGGACGGCGTCTGCATGACACCGCGTAGGTGGAGCCATGCTCGAAAGAGAGAGCGAACGCCGGCGTGCGCCTCACTCAACGCGTCTTTTCATTTGTCTGCCGGTACAAAACTGCGCATTCTCGACAATGTAAAGGAAGACAAAGTGAGCCTCTGGTCAGCGATCTAATTTCTCTTTATTTTTTTAGCAAGCGTTGTAAAAAATAATCTATTATGAGGTACAGTGTGAGCCAAGATCTTCTAGGAGACAAGACAAGATCTCTTATGCTCTCAGGCAGCGGCCAGTCTGTCCGACGTATAGAAGCGGCACATATAGGGCTCCGTTTTTTTCAGATAAATCCAGAATAATGTGATAAATGCTCTCCAGTAAAATGTTTGACAATTCGGGTTTATTTGATAAGCTCCGATTTCAGTGAAAGGCATTTCAAAGCTGAGAGTCATATCAATCGAAATGAGGGCAACTCCACCAGCGGTGGCAACCTGGTCGCAAATATGCTTGCGCATATTATTACGAACAAACCAGGTACTTTGTATTCAAGTATTTGTGCTTATATGTATATATGTTTTCACTTTCAAACCTTCCAGATGACTAATGTACTCCGTGTGTTCGTAAGTTTCAGCGTTCAGGTATCATATCATCCAAGATATGGGGTATTGGAAATAATGTTCATACCAAGGGCACAGTGGGCTCGAACCCGAGTCCACTGGGTGCTATTCCAGTATTCTGCCACTGAGCCACGCCGGTGCGTGCTTGGAATTTGTCGGCAAACTTGCCTTAGTCAGGCTTGATGTCAGGGGAAGAATCGAGTTAATATCCGTAATAAAGCTTTTAGAACAGCAAAAGAACAACGAGGCGTCACGCAATGCGAATAGCGTAACGAGTGGGTCGTCCAATGCTTCAATCCATTACAACAGCTTGTTTTTGATCACCCATTAAATGTAACGCATACCCACTTCAGGCGCAATTCCTCATTGTCATCAGCCACTGCATGAACAATTGGCACAAAATTCCTTGCGAGTGTCTAGTGGATACAACGCTACTCACAACAATGACGAAAAATAGCATAACGAATGCTGGTGTACAACCCAGAAATTATTATTATTATTATTAATGCTGTAGTGGGTACTCAGCAAGTGTGCTTGCAGCAGTTACTCAATGGGCGTTTAGTAAAGGCTCTGAAAGGCCGCTCCTCTAGCTTTCGCTGTGCAGGCCTGGCGTTTTTTTAATCAAGGAGAAAACGTCGAGAAGCAGCTTGACTCTAGTCAAAGGTACATTTCCGCGAGAACAGCCTGAATTCTTAACAAGGAATTAAATGAACAGGAACCGAGAAAAAAAATGAAAGGTAGCAAAAGCAGGATTATTAGCATTCATTGGAAATAAAATTAATAAGACATAGAATTGGCCATCTCAGAGAACTCCTATAAACGCCGGACAAGCTACATCTAAAACACACGCAATCTATGGGTTAAAGCGATCACACGATTTTAGTTCCCGAGACCTTTACAAAATTCTCTGCTGCACCTCTGTGTCCCCGTGCTCGCTTCCTTACACGCACGTGTTTACTTTCGAAGCAGAACAATCATCGAAAATCATGCGTCCACAGAAAGGGCTCTCAACATCGTCAAACAGTTTGCCCGTGGCGCGGCATGAAAAAAGATAGGCGGCGAGGCTAAAGAAAGCGAGGGGAGAAAATCGTGCAAAATCCGGGCGGCAGTAGTCCACTTGGCAGCCAGTAGTCACGTGTCTGCCTCAGGAATGTGAGGCACGCGAAGGGCGGAGCGTGCGTCAATCAAGTGCGCCACGTGACCGCACTGGAATGTCAACAATGTGGAAGGTGGGAGGAGCTTGTACGCCACTCAAACTCTGTCGGCTCCCGGGCGCCCGTTTCATGGATCCCTTGGGTTTCTGAAAAGCGCCAGTCGAATGCGGTGACAACGGGACCATGTCGCCATGCGATCGGCCAACGGTGTTGTGTGCGTGACGTGCTCGCTGCGGCCATTGGGAGGATACCTTACTTTCAGCCCTGCGTGTAAATGATCTGCGCCGCGGTCCTTCGGAGACCATGTTTGGAAGTGCAGTGCTGCGCATCGTTGTGACTAGTGCGCGGTGTGGTGACGCTCGCTACTCTGGATTACGCGTGTCCCGGTAACCACGTAGGTAGGTGCTCGTGTTTTCACGCTACTGCATGTCGCCGCCACCGCTCGCAAACGCGCATTCTCGGTGCCGTCCCGAGCGGCAAGGGCTAGCCAACATGGCGACTGTCGAGGCAACAAATTGGGGTTGCTTGCCCGTATCGCGCACGACGTGCTGGCGACAGCTCGCGGAAGGCACGCCGAACGTCCGCGCGACCACGGCGCTGAGCGATGAGACCGCTGCCTGCGAGCACAGCGCCGACTTTGCTTACCGCGCTCTGCTTCCGGATATCACATTACTCCAACGTTGCAGCGCGCTTTTTCTTACCTCGATTGAAGGGCCGAACGTGTGCGCTTTGCGGCAACGTGTGATGTCGTGTTGAGTTGACGTGCACCGCTTCAGTCGTGTCGATCGGGGCCCCGAGGCGCTCACTGGTGACCGGTTCGAAAGTTTATTCGTGCTAAGCCTAACGGCGACGCGGTTTCGCCAATGGTTTCGCTCGGTTTGGCTGCTTCGGGGCTCGCGGCGTAGTCGTCGCCGTGTACCGCGTGGCAGTGTACTACGCACGACGCCAGGAAAACTTGGGAACACATGAGCTTGACCGCCGCTGTGTTTTTCCGCGTTGCGTCGCCATCGCGGAAGCTATTCACGAAGCTTCGAGTGCCCGTCGATGATATCCCATGTTCATTAGTCGCGCAGGCGGCGTTTGAGGCGCCTTGTGCGCGCTTTCCGTATTTATTGTTCTAGTTGGTGTTCACTCTTCCTCCTGGATTCTTCCCGTAATGAGACGACCTTTCCGAACGCCGCCGCAGATTTGTTGGTCAGCGAAGTGCAGCAGCCGCACCATTGCCGCTGTACATGTGAACGGACGGGGCTGCATTCCGAAAGCGCACAAGAAAGTCGACCGTGCCATTCTTTCGGAGCTCCTGTATTGCGAACCACATCTTCGCTTTGCCGGCGTCTGGTTTGCTTTGTTTCCAACGGTAACAAACCGGTATCACCAGCACAGATATCTTGTTGTTTAATGACTACTCGGGGAATGCCATGAGCTGCTTTTGTGAGTAGGTTGCTTGAAAGGCAGCACTCGCACTTTACACAATCATTCTTTAACCGAGTTGTCATTTGGATGTATTGATTGGCTTATATGCCTCCGAGCTCATGGGAAGCCCTAATTTCGCTTCGTCCACCGTTTTGCCCAGGTGCTTTGAAATCTCCGTTGGCCTCAAATCGACTGTTGATCGGCTTGATGAAACTATCGTGTTTTCTTTTCGTTTGGCAATTTCGTGCTTGGGAAGTATCCAGTGCTGAATTCGTCAGCATCCCTAATATTTTCAATTTCTTTTATATTATTTTCTCTATGCCCATTTGGGCAGATAGTAATAGCACCACTCACAACAAGGCATGTTTTTTTTCGAAAGTGTGCAAATAGTGAATTTTAGAACAAATTGAATGCGACAATGATTGTCAAAACAGCACAAGACTTGCACGACATTTTAGTTGAAACAAATAATCGCAGGCATACCAGAAAAGCTTTACGATTACCTTTGATTGATGGAAAATGCCACCATTATGTAAACTGAGGTGACGCAGAAGCAACTACAGACCTTCCAAGTGAGCATTGAGTGAATAGCAATAAAAAAATTTAAGAAGCATTTACAAGCTTCATACACATCAGATAATCATCAAATGTAGAAATAAGCATATTACGCTGTCCTACGTTTTAGTTTCTTGCTTTGTTTTACAACGTTGCAGCCGACCGTAGCAACCTAAGCCAACACTAGTCAGATCCACAGCGTAAATAGTTAAAATAGACACTAAAATTGACAAGCGTTTCATTATCAATACTTTATTTTCTTTGTATAACGTTAAAAGCATCTTTTTAAGACTTTTGTGCAAATAAAAGACGGGAAATTTCAATTTTAGCTCAATATGATTTGTTTTATATACTTTCAGGTAAATCGCACTTCGCGAGCTGTGTCGTCGAGAGTAGGCATTTCTCAGTCAACTGAGTTCTGGCGAAGGCAGTTGGTGGCGAATGGCATTCGAATGCCATTCGGATGAATGCCATTTTGTTCGCCCGTGTGGCACCGCACGAATGGCAATAAATCTGAAGGCATTCGGGGGTAAATGCCATTTTTTCTGCCCGTGTGGCACGGGTATTAGAAGAAATATTTCCTAATGCCAGGTTGATATACAGCGGCAACGACAGCTTTGCCAACCGTTTTGAAGTGAACTAAGGTATAAACAATATTTCATGTCATGAAGATTGTTAGCTTTGGTGACATGGGAATTGTAAAAAAAGAATGCCTTCTTCCTGCAATCGATGTAATTTTCCATGAAACCTTGGCCAGCATGCATCTGTAAAGCAAGCAATGTTAACCTGTTTTGTTCCTTTGCATTTTTTTCATGGCAAAATCTGGAAATTCAGGAACCTAGCCTTCAAAAATGCATAAGGAGAAGAAATGTATTCACGACCACACAGGCTGGGAACTAGCATCAGTTTAGTGAAAACTAAAAGGATAAGCAAGGGGCACATGCACTCTACACGATACTGTACAATAGAGAATAGAGGGAATGTGAAGAAGCACAACCGAAATGCCCATGCTTATAAAAGCTGTATATCTGAAAGAAAAAAAGGGCTGATATAAACTCAGTGCATGGTACTTTCCAAGTACATTTGTCTGAAAATGTCTCCTGTTGTTGTGGTAACGAAAAGAAATATAACTACATTTACACACCAGCCATGAACATATTTTTTTGTATTTGGTATTCCTCAATTATTTCTCTTTCGCTATTGATAGCTCCCCTAACGATAATCTTGGTGTTGCTAAAAATAGCTGATCACACTCTGTAAAGAGCAGGCACATTGGTGCCTGCCCATGAAATATTCAAGTGGGTGTTCACACAGCACCCAATCCGCCTTACTGTACCACAAGAATGCGATACTTCATGTTGGAACAAAGGCATGACAGCTTCCATGGTGCCGAGAATACAACTCGTATGCTGTGCCCTGATGCAAATTTTTGACCCTGTGAAAGACACCTATGGTCCTCGCTTTCTCAACTTGTTCATATTGGTTTCTTTAGGAAGTGTCTGGAAAGCCTTTGAATGGTGGCAACTTCTCTTTGAGGGCACTGTTAGAGGGGAACTTCGGTGTTTTTTCGACATTCACCTATTTGAATAAAACTGAAAATGTGTTCACGTTGTTACCGTGGGGATATGTGCCAAATTATACACCCATAGGTCATTTAGTTTTTTAGAAATCAAATTTTAAACTTGGTAGCTGATTCTAGAATCACACTTGTAAATGCGGGCCACCCTGTGTAAATGACGTCAGGGTCTACTATTTTTCCAAAAACCCCGCCTATCCCAGCAGACAGATGCAGTGCACGCTTTCTTCTACGAGGTGACGACAATCAGTTCAGTTCAGAGCTGTTCAGTTTTGTCAGCTCCATAGAGTGTGTTAGTAGTCGTTGACGTCGGGTCTTACAATATTGAGCAACAAGGAAATCGATTCGGGGCATGTCAGATGCTTCAGGTGCCGGAAGATCGAAATGAAAAAGAAAAAAGAAACTATGCTTCTGCACTCAGATAGTTACTGCAATCATCCCTCGAACTTGTCACTGTTAAGTTCAGACGTGTGGCACAGCTTGATTTTGCGTCGGATGACATCGCACACTTGCTTTTCGCACATCAGAAGATCGAGGTACATCAGCTATGTTTACACCCTGGCCATCCGTGGCGGGGTATAGCAGATCTCATGACGTCATCGGATACCCACAACGGGCGACAGAGCTGCTCGCTGTTTCGGTTTCTGTTTTGACTCGTCATTTTTGTTTAGTTAAAATTATTGGCGAGTGCCTGGGCAAAACGAACCACCCTAGCTTATTCAGGACTCTCTATGCTATTAGAAAACAGCATTATCTCAGTGTGAATCAGCACCAGAGTTCCCCTTTAAAGCACAGACTCACAATGCCACGCTTGACTAGCTTTGATTGTGACTGAACAGCAAAGCTGTTTGTTGGTGCGAAGATTGAAAATAGAGAATCAAAAAACTCAACTCGATGTCATGTAGGGCACATGTGCATCTTGGTCTTCCTTATCGAGCAGATATATATATATTTTTTTCAATAAACTCGGCGCAGTCAGTCAGCAATACTTTTCTTGGGTTCATCAAATGTCCAAGCTTTTGTATGAGGTTCTTGGGTTCATCAAATGTCCAAGCTTTTGTATGAGGTGTTTGTTATGCAAGCAGTATTTGTTATATGCACTGTTCGATTCAAGTACCAAATCAGATAGGGGATTGGTTTTTCGAAATTCTTGGATATTTGTACTCTTCTTGTACATTGCAGACTGGTGTGCAACTGTGCAGAGCCATAAACATGTTTATGCTGCTGAAAATCGGCACAGTGCTTTATGACCGACTCGTCTTTGCTGTGTTTTCAAGCTACACAGCTAACAAGCTAAATTGGTAAGGCAGAGGATTTGGGGAAACTGAGCAGTGCTTCCAAATATGCCGCTTAGCTGGGATTTAATGGTAGGATTTTAGTATTAAAACCCACCAACGAGTTCTTTAGGTCGGCAAGTGTTTGCTTCAAAATGTTTGCCGTTCTTTGCTTAGGCATCCTGATGTCCTTTGCTGTTAATAGATCAGTGGGTATTTCTGCAAAGCCTGCACACTCTGCCTTGTCTGTAGGTGTTAGAAGATTTCTAGTATTTCTTCACTGGCTTTGAATCCAGCAGAGTCGAATACAAGCTTGTGAGAATTGTGCCGGCATATTACTTTTGTTTCTTATTATGATCCAGCATCAGGCATTGGGTTGTGCCAGTTTCATGTTTTTAGCTGCGATTGACCAGGAGTTGTCTTTGACTCTCGATGATGCACTAGTGCTGCATGTGTTTAATTAGGTATGTTGATCAGTTTCTAGTCACTTTAAAATGAACGGCCGCTAATATAGTGGATGGTCTCTTGTATAGGCAACATGGTGAAAGACACCCGGGCTGGCAGATTTCACGTTATCACA